GAATTATAGACGTTTGCTGTTTTGATGGATTATATCATTGCAAAAAGTTGTGTTTCTTTTTTTTTCCTTGTTAGATGGAAAAACTGCTACAAATTATGTGTGTACGAGACTATTGATATGCCTCCATTGGTAAAAGCATCGATGTCAGGTGTAGAGTAACTGGTGTGCAGCTTTTTCAGTTTTGTGACATCTTTGGTTAAGATGATGGCTGTGTATCATTTAGTATTGTATTCATAGTAGTAAACTGAGTAGACAGACACATGCCTCCAAAACTACAAGGATTTTATGCAATAGTACTCTGTTACAGCTGAAAAGGGAAAGAAAAGGTTGTGCTTGTGATCATTTGACACTTACTCCATCATGGAGGCCGAGAATCCCTTCTGCACTGTGATGGAGGATTGATGTTTGCTACTGAAAAATGTCAGAGATTCAGGATGGCAATTTTTCCCTTTGTAGAAACCAAGAATGATTATTTATGGCATGTCGGTTGTAGTTTAGACAGAGTTCTGACGGAGAGAGAGAAACAATGCTCTTTCTCAGGGGCAGAATATACAGTCTCTTCTAATCTCTTGTTTTTAGTGCTTTATTTTTAGATGTACTATTTTTAAACAGTTTGAAATACAAAAAAATTTGCTTTTTTTTCCAGTTAAAAGAAAACCCTGTTGTGACACAGCATGACTCAATCTTTTTATAGCCACATCAAATATGTGTTGCTTAGGATAATGTAAAAATATACAAACAATAATAAAGGCAAAAATAAGAAAGTAGCAGTTGCTATTGTAACAGAAGGTGGAGGGCAGTAAGAAATGTTCTGTAAATAAATGCCTCATTAATATTTATTATTCATTCCAAACAAAACAATAATAAGCTTTAACCATACCATACCAAAAGTAGTACAGAAAGTATAGACAGTATTTAGTACATAGAAAGTATTTTACATCCCCTGTCTTGGTATTAATGTAGCTGTTGTCTTAATCTGTTAACGAGTGGGTGTTAAGGGAGAGGTATGCAGTAAGAGTAGAATTAATTTTTTAGGTTCTTTAGAGTCATGATTGTTTTGATGCTGAAAATAATGAAGTTGTTACGGTGGAGAGGACGGTGCTGGCTGGTCTCTGAGCGGGTGGGAGCTGCCTGTGTTCCGGGAGCGGTAGGCTCCTAGCTCACAGGGTCGTCTTGTGACTCATAAATATTATTCTTGTCAGTGCAAAGCAGGTCTGATTTTGAGCCTAAAACTGCAACCAAATGAATAATAACAGCTGACAGCAATGCAGTACACGCCTTTAAATCCAGCTTTGCCAGCCCAGCCTCCATTCCCAGTGCAACGTCAGGTGCTGGGTTTGGTGCTCGTGGGGAGCCTGGCAGGCAGGTTGTTCGACACTCCTCTTTCCACTTCTGTGGCTTGTAGCAGGCTGTTGATGTGTTTGTGTTTTCCTGTATTTTTCCTAATCTGCCAAGCTCATCTTTTTTTTCGGCTGCTTAGGCAGTGTTAGTGCTGACACACAGATTTTCATTTGCTTATTTATTGTCTGGTTAGATCACATCTTGCACTGAAAAACCTAAGAGAAGCCAAGTTGCTATTTGCTGACATCCGAACGGCAGGGCCAGGCCCAGAGATGGACCGCAAGCTCTGAGCCTGGCTGTTCGCCCAGATCTGACCATGCCACAGGGGAGCTCTGTTGGAGTTACTGAGTCCTCGCTGTGGTGAGGGCTGACGCGGGGGTCTGGGGCATCTCCACCGGCCCTTGTTCTGCTGGCTCTGAAGTTCCTGGTCAGACCCGGGAGACATGACCTCTCCCTGGAGCGGGTGGAGGGGGAAGCGTGTTATGTGATGGGCAACAGGGGACGATTAGCAGCTGGGTGAATTGGTTTGAGTCTTCCCTGCACAGCAGGTTCAAGTTAAGGTGGACACCAGGTAACTAGCTCAGGTGTAAATTGTCTCCAGATTAAAGTACTACATTTTTATGTGGGTGGTAGAAAGCTCTAGCTAAAATAAAGGTTAAATTTTCAAGAAATATGCAATAAGAACAAATTGGTAGTGTTTGCAGTGTGGGCAATTGAAAAGCATTGTACTTTTTAAGTATATGTCCTTGACCTTTAGGAAATATGCAGGCTGGAGAAATATGAAGAGTTGCCTTTACAGCTACTATGATGTGGAGCTTTTGTTCAGATGATTTATAACAGGAAGATTTTTTAAAATTTTATTTCAAAACTATATAAAAAGCAGTTAACTGTTAGCTGGACATGGTTATAGTACCAGTTGATAAATTCAGGTTAGACTGTGTAGTCATCACTCATGCTTGGAAGAGCAAGAACTTGGGGGTAGGTGGTGTCCTGTAGAAACAGCACTCCCTGTTTTGTTGCCCAGACTAAAGAAGTGCTAGCCACTGGGCTTGGCCATCCTACTGATGTTAGGTTCCTGGAGAAGGGAAAGGGAGGGCAAAACTTAACCACAGATGCAGTTAGGCACCACTAAAGCTTGGGCTTATTTCTAGATCCTAGGGAGAAGTCTAACAATAATCTGGTGATAATTTGCTGCTTCTCTATTTGCATGTAAGGCCATGCTTTAAGGGAAAAAAAAAAAGTAGTTCCAAACTACTGATAGAAAATGCCATTTAAAATGTGATACAGTAGCAATGTGAACTACTTAGTGCACATTTTCCATATATTCTATGGCTTTGTGAGCTTTGTTCTCTTCTCATTGAACTTACTGAGTCTGATGCCATAGCTTCCAATGGGAAGCTTGATTGTTTTCCCATTCTCATTTCGTACACGTTTTCTGTCGCTTACTCTTATTATCTGATACTAAACCACAGTCTGTATAGCTTTGTGAAGAATGTAATTGTTTATTTTGATACTGTACCTTTTTGCCTATCCTGCCAGTTCCTTTTTCCACGTGTAATATCACAAATAGCTGATGAGTACACTGAAGGAAATTATGCTTCTCTGTTGGACTTCTGTTTTCTCCAATAATCCGACCTTCAACTGATTTTTTCAGTCACATGTTTTATAACAATTTCCAAGAATTACTTGATTCCTTCATTTTCTCAGTGCTTCCAGATCACTGCTTCCATTGTGCAAATGTAAAATTGATAAGGTTCACGCAAACTAAGCTAGTTTATTATTTTACTGAAGCTCATGTAAAGTTGTGGATGTTCAAGAAAATTGTTGAGATTGTGTGTTTTCAGACATGTTTACCTCTGCTGTACTATATTTAAAAGGATTCTCTTAATTCAAGTTTGCAGCTGTTCTTCAGTGGTGTTAGCAGTGATGGAGCTGCATCAGTGGTAGCAATGGCTGGAGACTTAATGGGAAACACACATAAAGCCTAGAAGTTCTGTGCTATCTGCAGTAGTAAAGTGGGTCTGGTTTTAGTGCAAGTTAATTTAACTTGAGATAAAAATCTAGTTGGTCCTTGTTTTTTGTGTCAGGTTGAGATGAGGCTAACCTATAGGCCTGACTCCATTTGATAATATACATTATGCACTGAATCTGTGTCTTCATTAGTTTTTGTTGGGTTTTCCCTCTGATAGATGCAGTGACGTTTGTGGAAGAACATAGTCTGAGACTAGTTTAATGAACACTTTTAGCCAGCCTAGCTTAAAATGTGAACCTCGTGCTCCCCGGAGTCCATTTGTAGTTCCCACTCCTATGCCTGGTGTTGGTACAAGTGCTTGACTATTTACATGAGGAAACAATTTGGCAGGTGTGCTTTTGTGTGGGTACAGTTGCGTAGGTCATTTGCTAGTGCAGAAGAGTGTAGACACAAAAGTTGCACCTCTGTAAGTTGCTGATGTCCCACTTCAAAATACTGGAGTGCAGCCAAAGTGTTCAGAGTATGTAAATTTTCTTACTTAGTCTGTAAAATTATGCATTGTTTTATTCTGCAAAGTACTTTATAATAATAAATTGCTTGTATTCTGATGAATACGACTTGATCTCATAACATGAGAGCAGTGTAGCGAAATCACATTGTTTGAAATTGTGGTATTAAAAAATTAGGGGAATACACAGAATTGCCATTTTGTTGGCCTCATCTTCCTTGACAGCATACTCAATAACTTCTCAGTGTAAAAATGTGTTAATTCCAGCATTGCTAATTTCAGTATTGTGTAAACAAAAATTAAAATATAAGAAGGCAAGAGGACAAAACTGTATTAGCATTTATCTGCCAGGGTACAGAAAATAGGTTTGGGTTTGGAGAGCAGATTTATAGCTGAATTAATAGCATTGACACAGACTGGATTTAAATTTGTTTGTTGGTGTATCCATACAACCTAACTACTGTGCAAATCAGCTGGAAAAAAACCAGATTTTGATTTCAAGTGGTACAGCTTGAAATGTCACAAGTTTTCACTAGCATCCTGAAATAGTAGTCTCTAAGTGTGGGGAGAGAATATCTATTTAGATGTCAGTTAAGCATGATGACTAACAGATCGAAAGGGACTGTTAAGACATGCAGCTGACAAGCTGCGTAACTTTTATCTGCAGAACATCACTGAATACTTACTGCATCAGGCTCACAGCTTCCATTTGAGTAACAGCGTATGTGCGGGTTTACTTAAAAAACTGTAAAGGATGGAGAATCCACTCTACCCAATTTAATAATTCAGGTGGTAATTATCCTCACTACTAGTAGTTGCACTGTAGGAGTGTAATTTTTGCATCCTTAGCGTCCAATAACTGCATCGCAGTTGGAATAATTGGTTTTTTCTGCTAGATTTAGAAATGTCTGACATCTGAAATCCCTTCTGTGTGTAGATGTTCACAAAACCCCGTGGAATTACCTTGTAATTTCTGAGGGCAGTGCGATTCTTTTAATAGTTCAGAGGCAAGTCAGTTTCATCATTTATGTATGCTTTTATATAATGCCTGGATCAAGGAATAGAATTCAATGAAAGAAAAATATTTTGCAAGTTGGAATTTGAATAGATGGGTTTCAGTTATTTAATGCTAATGAGAAACGTAGTAACCTTTTTGATGCTTATTGTGCTTTCTTGCAGGGCAGCAAAGGACACTACAGGTATCACTGGCAGAGCCACAATGTCAAACACAGTGGAGTGGATGATATGGTCCTTCTTTCCAAAATCACAGAGGATTCCATAGTGGAGAACCTAAAGAAACGATACATGGATGATTATATTTTTGTATCCTTTATAATGTTGTTTCCAGCAGGGTCCTGTAGACTTGCTGAGCCAATGTGAAACTAATTATATGTATGTATTCTATTTAAGCAGATTACTCAAACACGCTGAGCCTTTTAGGTGACAGTTCGCATGAGATTACACATAGTGCTTTGTAACCTGAGCTAATTATGGGGGTTGAAATTAAGATCTGAAAAATTATTTTAAGGTATTCTTTTTGATATTTGGAATTGTTCTTGTTGTTGTTGAAGATAGGCCTGAAGCTCCATATATTTATATAGCCACGTAACCCCTGAAGCTACTGCAGTAATGCTGCTTCTAAGAGCAAGAATTAATAGGTTTAATGCGTCTATACATGTCTTGGTACCATGTTGTATTCTATACCTCCCAATTTCTAATGCTTTCAAAATAGCTTTTCTTCTATGACGTAACCCCATTTGCAACTTATTCTGGAATTGTTAATACTGTGAATCATGGGCTGATGGAAACAAGTGAACATGTGAACATCTGTATATCTGCGTTCACACTTTATATTTTTTTTTCTATGATTAATGAAAACACGAAAGATTTAAATACCTGAACATATAACCTAACAAGAAAAACAGATTTCAGCATCAGAGGTTTACTGTTTTAAAAAAAAAATTTCATATGAAATTAATTCCTTGAGATAAGAATAGTTACTGTTTCATTTTTAGCTTTCGTAATGTAACGAGCTGCAATAATTAGTTTAGTAAACACTAGTCAATATGATTATGTACTAGAAAGTGATACTGTTTCTTCTGCTGTTGTAGCCCGTTTTTCATACTTCCTAGTTGTATCTGGAGAATAGTTTCCTTGAAGACTTCAACTTTTTTTAGCAGAAAAGGAAGGAAATATAACATCTTCTTTAGCTTTCATAATGTAACATGAGCTGCAATAGCTGGAGAATAGTTTCCTTGAAGACTTCAACTTTTTTTAGCAGAAAAGGAAGGAAATATAACATCTTCTGGCTATTTCCATATATTCAGAAAGTTAAGGGCTAAGTAGCAGCTCAATTTAGCAAAGACTGATAGAGGAAAATTGATGTTGCAGTTGTGCCATCCCAAACTGCAAAGGTTTTTAATATGTCTGTGCACATGGGTTTGGATGCTCTGTTCAATAAAGTACCACACCATTATTAAATTTGCCATATAGAAACGTGATAAAGTTGCACGATATTTGTCAAGCTGTAGTACTGGGGCAAACTATAGCGCTCTTCCTGTTGGTAACATCAGCGCTTTTGTCCCTGTGGAACGCTGCATCTTCCATGCAGTACAGTCACTAAGTCTTCAGTGCTCTGTGCTGACGAAAGGGTTTTATGCTTTTTTTTGTCTTATAAAAATAAGTGAGATTAACATGGAGTTGGTCTTTCTACTGAAGCAGGAATAAGTATGTTTTCCAAGGGACTTGTGGTCATTTGAGGGATCAGAGTCTTTTTTTAAAGCATTATAATTCCTTTGTGTAGGGAGAAAAGACTCCTTTTGCAGTTCTGTGAAGGCTTTTCATCCTAAAATGGAGATAATCTCTTGAATCTTTCAATTGTTTGTATGTCTACCCGTGAATGAACATTTCTCTGTGCTACATTGCATAGAGATTACCAAATTGTCCCAGAAAATGCTGGTATTGTTTACCAACAGAAAACTGTCACTTTGGATGTTTATACTGACACAATGAATGCTTGATTTATTATATGCGAGACCCAGATGTTGTCACTCTTCTTTGAATTAAATTGAAAAAATGTATGAAGAAAGCATTGCAATTAATGATACAGAAATTATGTTCACTGAGTTATACTTTTCTAACATGTTACCATTTTGTGCTGTGGCACCACAATAATAGATTCTTACGTAGGATAATCCAACAGGATAAATTTGTTAATTTTCCTACTTTTGTAAGGAAAGCTTAGATAGTAAGTTTGCCTATGAACAATTGAAGATTGTTAAATGAAACCTACAGTACAACATTTTGGACTCATTGATATGGGTACACTGCGATCTCCCAGCTCAATGAACCCATGCTGGCTGTAGTGTCCGTTCCTTCTCATATGTACAGTGCAATTCTGATTCCAAAAGTTTCTGAAGTATTTTGTAAATGTAGGTACACGTGCAGCTGGAGGCAGAGTGGTGAAATACTAACATTCAAAATACTGCAAAAAAGCTTTCTGGGGCTGATGATAGCTTGAAACAGTGTCTTCTTATAGGGCAGCCTGCAGGATAAGACTGCTAGAGACCATTAATAGTTACGCTCATAAAATAACACCACATAGTGAATTACCTAATCCCCTTAGCTCCCCCACTAGTACAGGCAGCTGAGTAGTTGTCCAGTTTTACTCAGTAGTGGCTGTTTCTATCCGACTGTGCGTGCTCAGCACTGTCTCGGTGAGATCAGAATGTGTCACTCTACTATGTTCTGCAAAAGTCAAACCAATCTTTTCTAATACTGACCATATGACCTCCTCAGTTACAAAGGAGTAAAACAATTTAAATATGCCATTTCCTTTCTGTATTTTTATTCAAGGTGTGACGTGTTTGGCCCTCTAATACATGTTTCTGTACTTAGCTTGTCCTAAAATAAATATTTTGATAGTATGAAAGAATCCCATTGAACGATATGTTTATATTCTTCTAAGCCTGCTAATTTCATTTTTATTAACAATTGTTGTAAGCGGTGGGGTTTTTACTATTATTTGAAGCTGTGCTGTATTATGTAATAGATGGAAAAGTTATTTGGCAGTCACTAGTGGTAAGATAATACTTTATGAAACTGTAGTTACCTTAACTTCTTTTGAATACAGACATATATTGGCTCTGTGTTAATCTCTGTGAATCCTTTCAAGCAGATGCCATATTTTGGTGAAAAGGAAATTGAAATGTACCAAGGAGCAGTAAGTAAAGCAGTCTAAAATGTACTGCAATATTCAGGGGCATGTAAATATTATTCTACATGGTTAAACTCTTGGAAGCATTTGTTTCTGGGTTTTGGTAGCATTGAACTAGCCTGGGAGAAATTGGATGACATCCGTTACCACAGATTGAGTCTTCAAATTGAATTCCCTGGAAGAGAGGATTAGTATTTCAATACTCGTATTGATTAACTCTAATCCAGATCAGATTTCTCTCCTTGACACATCCCTCCTCCTGCAAAGGCAGTTTTTTAGGCTATTGTGTGCTCAGAGTGTGGTGCACAATACAAAATGGCCGTTAGTGGATTTGGAGACTGTAACTTGAGAACTCTCAAACTGGACAGGAACAATAAAAAAGATTGAGATACCAAAATTAGATGCCACTTTTGAAAATATAGCTTGAAGAGTGAGTCAGCACAAGGACATTACGGCCTTAAAATTCAGTTTCCCACTCTGCTCGAGTTGGGCATGTCCATAGATTTGGGAAATCATTCGCTTTAAATGGACTCAGTGGATGAAAATGAGACATACAGCACCAGGCTCTGTGTCGTGGTTTAGGTAGTTTATTGTTAGCATATGACCACTGGTGGAATAGGCTTAAATTATGTAAGTTTCTCTTGGACAAGTAATATATTTCAAGCCCAGACCATTTTTAGAACAGGGTGTTTACGATGGTTTAGGAGAGAATTATGGATGAGAGAGAGATCAGTAACAAAACCCAGAGACTTTGGTTTGTTTTTATTAAATGAACAAAAAAATTCCTGGGGAAAATTCACTATAAAGTGGGATTCAGAATTGTTTTTCCAGGCAAATAATTCTTCCAATTTAAATAAAAATTTATATTGTTCTTTCTGTGTTGTTTAATGCTGTGTTGAAAAATTATTCTGTATTTCCCCTCCTAGGCACAGTATGAAAACCCACCACATATTTATGCTCTTGCAGACAGCATGTACAGAAATATGATTATTGACAGAGAAAATCAGTGTGTCATTATTAGGTAAGAAAAAGATCTGTAAAAAAGTATTTTACCATCTTCTTCTGGTGTTTTAACTTCAAGAAGCAGAAAAGTTTATTTTTTATTATATCAACAGAAGTGTTCTGCGTCTGTGACCACTGAACATTTTGGGGTTTTCTAGGATAGCTAAGTACTTTCTGACCCTCTCTTTTGTTTTCCAGTGAAATCCTGATGATAGCTTAACCACAAGAAGTCTCTTTCTCACATAGGCAGCTTCATGCCCAATACCAAAACTACATGAGAGAGATGGATTAACAACTATAGCAGCCACAGATACTGTTAAATCCAGCATTCTCACATTGACTGCATTTACCATACTCTCTTTTTAGTACTATTTCTTTTTTTTCCCCTGTTAAAAATAAATGTGCTTTTCTTCCTTTTTGAATTTTGCTTGCATTCAGTCAGAAACAAAAGGAAGAGAGAGATACTGGGAAATTAACTTTGTCTTCACTATTAATCTATTTTAATTATTAGGCTGAGGGAATTCACTGTAGAACTATTACTCAACTTTTTAATGACAGCCATTAAAGTCACAGTCGAAGTGGGTTTTGGGTCCAGAGGTATGCTGTGTTCCCTTCTGTGGGTTTACAGATGATGTATGGTAAAAGAAAGCATGCAGAGGGAAAGACGTGCAGGATATTTGAGCTAGTACACTATACCTCTTCTGACTTTCCTTCTTACATAGAAAACTTCAGAGGTTCACTGTAGTGCACCTGGAACTGCAGTTTACATGTGGCAGTGGTCTCCAAAGCGGGGTGCATGGATCACAGGGGTTGTGCAGTGAAATCTGTTGGGATGCGGGAAAAAAATATTAGACCTTCAGTAGTAGATGTATGTAATTTATAAATAGATAAATTATATACACACATTGGGAGTGTCTGCTCAAACATTTTTTTAATGATGGTGTGTGTGACCAAAAGTGTTTGGAGACCACTGGCCTGTGAGACTTCCCCAAGGACTAGGCAAAAGAAAGATGAGAAAAAGAAAAAAATAATTTGAAGGGAAACTGTTGTCATTTTATTAATAACAGCTTTTCTTCAGCTTTCTGTCATTTCTGTGTGGAACATGCTGAGAGGCAGCACTATGAATTTGACTGCTGTTGAATATAACAAAAGAGAGATTTCAAGACTGAATGTTTTCTTTGCCCGGGGGCCCTCTCTGGTCTTCTGCTCTGCGATGTCACAGCCCCAAGGGCTCAGGATGTCGGTGGCAATCAGATCAGATGCCTGGTAACTTAAGTGAGTGTGCTCAGTCCCTTAGGCTGGAACCTGCCAGGAAATGGTGGATAGTCACTGATGTTTAAGCTTAAGCGCCCTTGCACCAGCCACTTACTAATTTAATGTTGTCTCAGGAGTATTATAAAGAACTTGGCTTAGTAGGTGGGTCTTACATGTGGAGCTGCTCCATGTGCAGGTGTTCCTGTACCCTACTGAATGATCCAGTATGAAACCAGATTTCGTACTAATATCTCACTGATGAGCTGCTGTGAAACTTGTGAAAAATAATTGTTTGAAAGTTATATTCACTGTTTTATTTATTTGAGTCTATGCCTGGGGGTTGTCCAGGCAGAGCTTTCCTGGGTGACATGTTACAATGGAAAAGTGCACAGGTATGTCCCTCTTAGTATCAGCAAAGTGTATGTAAGTATGTGGAAACCGTTGATTTTTACACGTAGGAAGGTGAGCCAGGCATTAACAGCTTGCCACACTGAGCTGTACTCCTGTAAGCACCTCCCTGTTCCTGGACCCCTGGTTACAGCATGGTGCCATATGAACCAAAATGCCCAGAGTTCACATTCTTGTTCCTCCTATATCTGAATTGTTCCCGGAGCTCAGTCTTCCTTTTTGAAAAATGATGCCTGTTGCCATGCTGAAGTTAATAGTCCCATTTAGTCAAATTCAGACCTGTTAGGAATGGGTAAAATTGGGATTTATGTTGGTTTTTGAACAAAGTAACATCCCAGAGCCTGGGATGATTTGCGTGAAGCTAAATTTATAGTGAAAACCTTTAAACTGTGGTGAACTGTGATTAAAAACCGTATTTTTTTGATCAATTGCTAATGCCCCAAAGTGCAATGAATGCAGAGGGTCACATTTTCAGAGAACCGAGATGAAGATCTCAGATACAGACTTACAGGTTTAAATTCACATGAGAATTCTTGTGCTTGAATAACGGATGATGCACTCTTCGGAGTGTCTGCATTTTGAATGTGCAGAGTGAATTTTCTGTCAGTGTATGTGCAGCGTATTCAAAATCTGCTAGAGTTAATTGAAATCTACCGCAAAACTGAAACAAGAAAAATGTGTTTGCCAGGAACAGCAGAGTTCCTGATCCTTTCTACACATTTATTTTTCCTATGATTATTCTTATTACAAACACTGTAAAAACTGTGGAGTACTTACAGGTAGTTTTCATGATGGTATTTGATTTTTTGGGACACCTAGAAATTGTTTTTATGAAATTGAGTAACTCAGCTGTTCACAAAATTGGTTTTATTTGGTTCATATTTTAACCCTTTCGACCACATTTCATTTAAACTGTTTAGATACATCCTGTATTTTCTGATTTTAATGTAATCACTGTTTCTAACGACTAGAGCTGGTTTAAGAATGAAATTTCTTGAAGTCTGGAATTTGTTTGCTTACGTTTTATTTCATAGACCAGAAGGCACTGAAATTGCTGGCAGACTAGAAGCTCCCAAGATGCTGCCACTCTTGAGTGAAGTGAATGTTCTAGCTAGCTTCATGTCTACTACCACACCATCAGTTTCACTTAATAGCTGCCAAGGACTTTACCGTTTCTGCCCCTAAACTGGTGATTCTCAAAGAATTGAGATATAGTTCTGTCTGTCCTCAGTTCCAGAGAAGTCTGCTGACACTAAGCAGTTTCAAATGAACCTTTGTGTTTCGGTGAACCGTAGTTTTTGCCATGAAAATTCATCCTGTGGAAAATGAGTGATGATAACAATATGGTTATTATGAGGTGACTGTGTGCTTCTCTACTTCACAAGTAGTCTGAATTTGGAGTGACCTCACTGAAAATCCCTGATGGAACAGAAGGAACAGAGCAAGCTAGTATAGAAACAAACCTAGGTTTTCCCTTCTTTCCCCCCTCCCAAGATGGCAGATTGCCCCCCTAAAAAAAGGTTTGCAGAAAGAGAAGGTAAGTAATAAAGTGTAGACTGGATTGATGCACCATCAGATCAAAAAGGCTATGTCTGGCTTATGGAGCATGTGGAGTCTCAGGTATGGAGACACGAGGATGATGGGGAAGGGGTTGGTGCACACCTGTGTCTTCCTACAGTATGTGGTTTGGGCACCTCTGGCATCTACCTCCAGACCTGGGAGGGGACGTGCATTCCAAGAGACTAGACATAGGTTTCCAGGCAGGTGAAGGAAGGTCCCTGCAGTGTCCTGCTGGAGTCAGGACCCTGTGTGTGCATAAGGATCATACACCCTTTTGCAAGGACATTTAATTCCAGAATTCCAAAGAATGCATTTAGACACTGATAGAAAAAGCTCATCCTCTTCAAAAAGTCCATGAATGTAGGAAAGCAGATCCAACCCAAAATACAGTTCTCTGAAAGGCTGAATAGATAGCAGCCAAAATTAATCTTTTTATGTGAAAATACTAATTTAAAAAGAAAAGCTGTTACCAAACAACCCTTCCAGGGCCAGGAAAACCTGTTTCATTAGTGGAGTAATTGCAGCATATATGTGTATGCATGAAGAAAATTGCATGTATGCATGTCTAATTATAGCTGAGGAGCCATGAGCTATTTTGAATGGCTAACAGTGTAAACAATGAGGTTATTCATGGGCTGGATCCTGGCTGGGCTGAATGCAGGTGCAGAGCATGTGCTGAGGTGGGAGGAGGGACCAGCACCCGCAGTCATCTTCCCTGTGCTGGGCAGAATTGCAAAGGAAGTTTACTCATATGAGTAATGCAGTTACGCTGGAGTTTGATTTCTCATTAAGTTTATGTTTTACTGAGGCTTGATACTTAATTTAAGCCTCTGTTGAACCAAGCTCATAAATGTCGACTACAGCAGACTGCATTTCTTCCTCACTTGAAATGGCGGCCCTTCCAAATTATCAACAAGGAGTTGTCCAATCAAGATTTTAATTACAAAGGATTGTCTGTTGTGGCTTTTAATTCCTTCTTGGGCTATCATTGTCCTTTAATTAAGAGAGTGGAGGTTATGATTAGTGTTTTTCTATTATGCAGCAATAAATGTGTTTCTTCAGAATGTTCTTAAGGGTTTACCCTTTCTATAAAGTTGAGGACTTTATTTTCACTTTCTCTCTGTGATCTCTGCCAGGAGATGTTGCAGTTGCTTTAAAGCAGTTTTTCAGTCCTTCTTGTTTGTAATTTTAGTTTATGTTTTACATCCGTGTGGCAACATTTGAGTCCGGTAAAGCTGTGTACGATGACTGCATGCCTGAAAAGATGATACATCTTAAATACTACAGATATGTGTTAATGGAAAGGTCATTTACCACCCCAACTGTTTTTAGTGAACAGCTCATGTCTATCTTAAGTCTATTAAGTTCAAAATTTAATATGAGGTTTCTAGTCAGCTTCTGTATCTCAGCTTTCCAGAAGACGCAAATGACTGATCATTCTCAAATGTGTGTACAGAATCTAACTGGAAATATGGTTGAATTTTAGTGAGGAAGTGGTAGAAACATAAGTCTAATGCAGTAAGAAAAGTTAGGTAAAAGCTCTGATTCAGAAGGGAAAAGTATTTCGCTGAAGTTATGCTACTGAGGTTTCTCTGAACATAATTAGGGAAAGTAAATTCTCTATGTAAACAAACAAAAAAGCTTATCCAAACACATCAGAGTATTTAACATATGCATTGTTCTTTATTGGCAGATCCAATAGTTCTTTATAAATATTTGTTAGTAAAATTTCTGCATTGTCCTGGCAACGTAGATAAGTATTACTTGTATTATTCTACAGCCAGGGAGACTATATTAAATGTCACTCAGAAAATTAATTTTAGAGAGAAGGATGAAGCTATGTATCTGATCGTGCTTCTCTAATCACTGATTTTATTTCCTCTGGGAAGGAAGGAGCAAAAAATTTTCCCTTTGTGTTTGTAGTCTTATTCTGATTTCAGCTAAGTGTTAATTGACTTTGCTGAACAAAATGTCACTTTTCTGAAGTAGCAAATAGTGCTTGAAGAAACAATATGTCTTTCAAAGCATTATCTTTTTTGTTAGTGATGGAGGCTATGTAATGTTTTTATTTTTAGTGAGAAAAGTCTCTGAGAAAATTGTCACTACCACAATCCACTTACTTTAAGCCATTATAATATTTTTTTCAACCTTTAAAAACCTCTGTACTTCCAACATACTTCAAACTACCAAGCTAGAAAATGATTCTTGCATCTTCTTAAAATACTTTTAATAGCAGCAGAGCAGTAAGATATATGTGAAAAAGCTTCTGTATGAAAAACTATTTGGCAGGAATGGCATTAGAGTTGAATACCTGAGATTTACTGGGGCAAGATACCATGCCATCAGATAGAGTTACTTTGGTTCATAAATAATGCATCATCCTGTTTTATTGTAGTTTAATTGGAACAATTTACTGGTCTCTGATCAATAAAAGCATAAAACTGGAAAAAAGTGTGTGCATGCATAAATCTAAAGCAAACTCTGAAAGGCAGTCTTTTGGCCAAATTAATTTAATATAAAGGACCACTTATTTCAAAACAGAGACTAACAAGAAAATGGAAATATATTCTTCCAGGTCAATTTCTGTGGCAGACACTATGGATGAGAAATATAAGCCACACTTAATTTGAACAAAGAGGAGAAGGATAACTTATGCATCAAAGATAATCTCACAGAACTGTGTTACATTTTTACTGCGTGATAAATAATACCTGATCAAATTCATTCAGTGTTTGGCTCCGGATCCTCCTCTGTATTCAGTTGAAAACTGTATACATAAATTCAAGAGTATGATTCAATTTAGATCGGTTTGTCTGTCTTGTTTTACAACAGGATGAGCAAATTTACTGTGAGCAAATTTTGAACAAATGTTATTTTAATTACCAAACTACTGCTGATTTGAACTTCTAAATACAGTTTGACATCCAGCAAACTCTATCCCTGTGAAGGTAGTAGATACCAATAATATAAGCTTTCTTCTTGATGCTTAGAAAAAGATGACTTGGAATAATAAAAATCATGGTCCACACTTCAAAGATGAGATGATCAAGAAGTATTTTTTTCACCTTTTCAAGTTTCCTGTTTGATCTCTAAGACTGCAGTCAGGAGAAGTGAAAATCATGAAAACATTTTGGGGGGTCGCGGGAAAGACTTTCAGCATTTGTGTACTGTTTGGAAGCTTTAAAGATATAAAATCCTATTTGCAGCTTGGCAGTTTGGGGAGCTTTTTCAGAACTAAACCTTTAGAAATGTCTCCATTACCCATGGTGATAAGGAGCTCTGAGTTGACATTTTCAGTAAGTCCTTTTCCTGAGCAGGACATGCTGATGTTTCTCTGGCAAACATAGCTAAAATTTGTGCAGGGAAGGATCTGGATTTGATCCATATCCAGGAACAAGAAGGCGCAGGATAGAAGAATCAACAACATTCACTGAAATTATTCAGGAGATGAAAGATAGCACAGATTTTCACACAAGGAAAAAAAATAGTTCAGATATCTGTACGACATTGAACCAACATCCTTGTGTTGTTTTTTTGTGTTAGTATAGTCATCCAGGTCAGCGTAAATCCATTAAGGTCAAAGCTGACTTGCACCAAGATTTTTGTAAGTCTGGAGGAATTCTGTTGAAATAAAGTTAGGTTTAAGGTATGAAATAAAGCATGAGGTTGGATTGTCTGGCATGCCAATCTTCTTTCCCTCTTGAGAAGCTTACTAATTGTGAGAAGGCAAACCTGATACTGTAAACATTATTCACCATTGAAGGGAAATATTACAACGGAAGGAAGGAATTGTGAAAGCTAGTATGGAATATTAAGACTTCTTGTACCCTGTGTCAAGAGGCATAGGAACAGGAAGGTAGTTCTTCCGTCATTCAGGATGTGATTAATAATGTCTCATTATTTCATTCAGGAACACCTAAAACAAAAAGACTCCTGGAATGAAGTAGGTATCAGGCATGGCAGGCAAAGCTTGGATTTTCAAATGAGTTTTTGTGTTAAGATCTGAAATCCCACTAAATTTAAGTGGGAACTGAGTTCTTAACACACTTGTTCTCTTTTGACCATCTTGGTTTAAGTATATTTATTTCTTAATTTACATAATTTTCTGACTTTGAAGTCCCACAGAGATTCTGGTGTCCATGCAAGATAGTGTATTCAAAATTATATATTCACAAACATATCCAAGTACTGTGCTACAATACTATATCACAGTCGATATATTACCAACTTACCAGATGTAAATATGGTGTATATTTATTCTTTTTCATAGTTAAGGTACCTAGGTTGAACAAGATAAACCTCAAATTACTCCATTCTAGAGTTGCTTAAAAACTGACAAGTACATTTTTGTGTTCCTTTTTTTGTAGTGGGGAAAGTGGTGCTGGAAAGACTGTAGCTGCTAAATATATCATGAGTTATATCTCCAAAATTTCAGGAGGTGGCCCTAAAGTACAGGTGAGTTGATACAGAGTAATACTGAAGCATAAGCATAGTCTGAAGATTTACTTCAGACTTCAGAGGTAGAATGACAAAGGTATGTCTTGGTAGACAGTGACAGCTGAGAGGCACTCTACTGAAGAAGCTTGTGGGTGAGCAGCTAGAAATACATATGAGCCCTCAACAGCAGAGAGACAACTGAAGCGGACAGTGAACTGCTTCCTTGCAGATTCCTAGTCGGCCTGTGTGATGGGAGCCATACGAGGGAAATCCACAGACCCAGAATCACCTCTGCTAAAAGTTTTGTAGCTCTCGCGCTGAATTATGTCTACAACCTTTTTTTTTTTTTTTTAAAGTTCAGGAGTAAAAGGTACTTTAATTATTGTTCTTAACCAGATTAAGAATGACAACCAGTCTCCTTTTAGTAGAGATGTGGGTTTTTTCCTATTGTGTTTGCATTCTATTGAAAACTGAACTGGCTTTTCGGGTTTTTATTACTTCCATTAAATCTCTGATTTGTATGCATACGTCAGAGAGCCAAGAGCGGGAACATCAACTTGTTTTATGAGGTAATCTAGTCAAAATTAGAGTATCTGAAAGCTAGCTGAAACAACAAATAGTTGCTTTTGTTAATGACTATACTATCAATGTCTGCTCTATCTATCAAAACTTATTAACTAAAGTTAATCGAGTGAATTAGCTGTAAAAATTCCCATAATGATGTTACAATGTCATTCACTGACTGACAGGCAGTGGTAGGTAGGTAGTGGCTGCTTTTACTAGTCCACTCTTTTTGTGTGCTTACGGTTATTTTTTGCTTTATTGCAGTCTCTGATGTTGAGTATGTTCTTTCCGCTTAGTTTTGCGCAACAGTGGTATTGGGAACATGGCAGAGAGTAATTCAGTAACCAAGAGAATGATCCAAAGAAAGTATGCGTTGTGTTATTTTGGGAATAAATATAATCATACTTTATAAGTAAATATTTTGTTTTATTTAAAAGATTCCAGCTTTTTGTACAAAATTAAAAAATATTCTTAGTGATTACAGAGTAACTGTTGATGAAGTTGGTAAGTTGCCTTCAGCATTTCTTTTGAACTAAAATTCAATCTTCTCTACACAACTGAGCATGCATTGGGTTTGTTCCAACGCTAATACCTTGTCCATACTTCCAGCTCCTAGGATCAAATAAAGAGACAATAGTGACACACTTTATTGCTTTCTAAGACAGCTAGATAGCAGTGTCATTGATCCTGAAACAAGTTGCTGAAGCACTTGCAGATTCCTAAATTTCATGCTGCTCTGACTTCATTGGTTGTGGTTCCAGACTCCTCAAAAGATTTAAATGCTAATGTGTAAGAAGGAAATCGTTTAAAATCAAGATGATGAAAAAACCAGATAAATTCATTGGCTGTGTTGCCTGGCAGAGCAGTGAAGAGAAGGACCAGTTTTTAGCCTCAGGCATTTTGTTTAGTTTTGTAGGATTTTCTTCAAAAAACAGGAACTAGAAGCTCTGAAAAGAGAGACAGATTCTATTCCTTATCTGATCAAGAGGATTTCTTACAGATGCAGGCTTTCATGCTTTTTTAATATATAATTTAGATGTCATAGTTTTCTAGAAAATCTGTAAGAACTTAAAAAATGTCTCTTTCTGAATCTGTATTTTTCTTGTTTTCTAAAATTTTAGCATGTTAAAGATATTATTCTACAGTCCAACCCTTTATTGGAGGCCTTTGGGAATGCAAAAACTGTACGGAACAACAACTCCAGCAGATTTGTAAGTCCCTCTATCTTAGAGATTACTTTAGTCTTTCAACTTCTGTGCTGTTACAAGAGACAGTATTCAGGTTTATAATATAAATTGACTACAAATGAGGTAAATCTAAATAAAATATAAAATGTGTTTTAAAACATGAAGTATATTTTGAGAGGGCGGTATTTCATTCTGTATATGTTGCTTATTTGTTTCTCTTACAATATATACTGATCACAATTTATTTATAAAATGTTCAGTGTGCAAGCAGATAACTTCTCAGCAACAAACTGGCCAGTTTTCCAGATCAGTAAAATATACACAGTGATATGTGTTTGAAAAAAAAAAAATCTCCCCAAATTGATACCTTTTTTAAAAACAGATGAAACTATCCTTAGAGTTGTTTGATGGGAAATGCCTTTACTAATATGTACAGAAAGTAGGCAGGAATTATTTTCAGTCATTATGAAATAGTCAGGATAATATTGTGAAATAACTGTTCACTAGATAACATACTGTAGGTTCCATTTTTAAAAGTTACACATAGGCTTTACAATTTTGAGATTTGTTCCTCAGCCAACACAAGTGTTAATACAATTAATGTCTCCCTGAAATAAAAAGATAATTGCTTTACCTTGCTTCCAAGCAGAACTCTATGTTTGCTGTTAGTTGTAAATCTGTTAAATTTACTTCCCATATAGGTGAGCCTTATGGTTTCCTTTATACTAAGCAAGAATGTCAGCAGTGAAAAGAAGCCACTGACTTCCTCTCTACACTTGCATTAACATGTGATGTATTATCCCAAGTCTAGTGCTGTGTAAATGCAGAAAGAAAGATTTGTGATAATTCAAGAATCTAAGCTTAGGTTATACCTTGAGACAGCTCTGTCACTGCATCCATAAAGATTAAATATCCCAGTAACCTTCCTTGAGATACAGTACAAGTACATGATTTCAGATTTGTATTTACTAATTATTCAACAGCTTTAATTATTTATTGCAGGGGAAATACTTTGAAATCCAGTTTAGCCCAGGTGGAGAACCAGATGGAGGGAAAATCTCCAACTTCCTACTGGAAAAATCTCGAGTTGTAATGAGGAATCCCGGAGAGAGGAGTTTTCACATTTTTTACCAGGTCAGAAGTGTATAGATCCTTTCTGAGTTATTTAAGACAACTAGGACCAGTTTTTCCTTTTGATTGAAAAGTCATTCTCAACACAGTGAGATTACTGAATGGGTACTCAGGAGGGTAATCTGGGTATTACTGGGAAGCTTGACAGCATGTTAAGACACCATCTCACATAGACCTACCTAGCTGCCTTTCAGCTCCAGACCAAAAGTACTTCAATATTTCAAAGGCCTTGCTTGGAAATTCACTGTGAACTCCCATTTGGAAAAGTCCAGTAGAATATAATAGAAAATGAGAACTTTCCAACAGATTTCTTTTTAAACTGGACTATACAATTATACCTTCTGCTCTGGAATTCCATAGCACAGCTGTGGAAGAGAGACTTGATTCTCAGTTAAGTTTTCTAGGACATTTAGGATAATACCTATTTGTTGGATCTCCAAGCATCCCCACTTTTTTTGTGTTTCAAAAGGCTTTTCTGGCCTTCAGTGGTCCTTGACATGCAAGTTCCTTACCTGAAGTGCCCTTGAGCAAGCTCTACAAAACTAGAGTAAAGACAGTGCATTGTGAGTGACTAAGCAGCTTCACATGAAGTCGAAGTGCCATTGCCAGGATGGAAAGCTGAGTTGGAGCTGGAATTGCTCTAGGAGCTGTGCATTCTCCTCTTCCGAGGTATATGAACCCTTTGCACTGTCCTGCTGATTTTCCTCTGTGGCTTGGAGAGGCTTTTTGACACAGGAGTTAAAAGACTATGGGGTTTTGACTGTTCTCTTCTGAGGTTAGTTTGTTCATTCCTTCCTATTGCAGCCATGTCTGTGCACAACTGCGTAGACTTTACATAGGTCTGAGGAGCCTCTCCTCTGGCATCACAGAGAGTACAGGAACCTTTTTTTAACTACTATGTTATTTATTCTTGGCACTGTTGGCCTGAATGATGCGAAGAGGTGTGACTTGAGCCATGCTTCAAATCAGCACAGTATTGCAGGAGTTCAAAACTTGCTTAACATACACCATAATGGGCATAAAGGATACTTGGCCTCACAATTAGAGTTACAAATAATGCTTTCTTAGTGTGTTCTTTCAGCAATGCCTACGTTTTGGTCGGCATGGAAAACATGTTGCTCCTGGGGATTTAGATAATATATTGCAGACTGGAAAACCCACTTTGCCTTATCTTTATGAGCTAAAGATAATGGAAAGCATTCAAGTCAGTCACAGTTTTTGCTTTTTATTAGATATGGAAGTTAGAACTAAACCATTCATGGGAATAGGAATGAGAATCTGGTCTTTTGGGTTAAACAATTAACAAAACATAGGAAGGATACATACCTGGCACAGCACTAGCCGTATCTCTCCCAGTAATTTCAGGCTCAGTTAACTGTTTCTGACCTTCCTCATCTCTGCTGAAGATTGTTGGATGATACCTAATTTGAGGATTTTTATTCCGCAGCTAATTGAAGGGGCCTCCTCAGAACAAAAAAGCAGTCTTGGCATTACCAGTATGGACTACTATTGCTATCTGAGTCTCTCTGGGTCCTACAAAGTTGATGATATCAATGACAAATCGGATTTCCAAGAAACACTGGTGAGTTTTTTATTCTATGATTTGCATAGTGGTGGATATATGTTCATGTCATTGTCCATTTGTAGAACAGACATTGATGTATTAATGTGGGAATGAGAAATTAATGTAGATATAACTTATTTTTATTATATTTCACCCTGAGGAGGAGGTATGTTACCCTGAAGAGGTCCTATGTTGCAGCCTAACAATCCTGAGAAGATAGATACTTTTTATAGGAAGGCGTTTTGATTTCTGTTTGTTCTTTTTCAGAAGGGTGCAAATTTAATGACATTTAATTGAGTGCAGATAATCTGCAGTATGAAAAATGTGAAAATGCAAACACAGTGAAGAACTTCCATTAGAAGAAAATATAAGAGAGTGCCCTGTTTTAGGTAATTCTTAGTGGTGCCTGATCTTCCATGCCTATTTAAAACAGTGCAACTGAAAGGCAGGAGAAACAGACTTAGAAAGCACAGATCAGAGATCTTTATCCAGTACTGTTGCCAATTCATTGTGTGACCTTTATGCAAGTCATGTCAACTTGCTGGTCTCCTGTTATTAGAAATTTGCTATTTAAAATAAGCATATTAACACGTCTTCTTGTTTACATATGTAGCACATTTAAAGGCCTGGGAAAAAAATAATCGTTACTTTTGTATTCTAGCTAATTTGGTATTTTAGAAAAACAGTCAGTTGAGAAGACATTCTGTAAGTTACCATGTTCTCTAGACTCGAAAACCCAATGTTGTTGTGGATTATTTTCTAGTAAGTGGCTGAAATTCACACCCTAAGCCAGACAGACTGTACTGCTTTTTACAGTCATTCAGTACAGCTTCACAGTGCTTGGTCTCAGTGGATAAACTGTCTGTGTAGAAGGAATATACAATCATTGTCTCCCAAGTTCAGCGTTTGCCATTTTTCAATGCAACTATTTTTAGTGTGACACTTAAGAGCAGGTGCTTCGTTTTTAGTAACTTTAATTTTTCCAGAATTTATTTTGCTAACACATCTTCTAAATGGTGTAGATGCTTCTGTATTTAATTAAAAAATTTTTAAAAATGCTGAAGTAGGATATCTGGTATCTTTTGAAACTTCAGTGCAGGCTTTGATGAAATTTGGTTGCCATAGGTATTTGAACTGTTTTGAAAAATTCAGATTTTTAACATCAAAATTTTAAAAAGACTTCTATGACAGGAGTCATTGAACAGATTCTATGACTGATTCCATTTTTTTTCCTTCCCAGCATGCAATGAATGTGATTGGGATCTTTGCAGAGGAACAGGCATTGGTGTTGCAGATAGTGGCAGGAATACTGCATTTGGGAAACATCAGCTTCAAAGAAGTTGGCAACTATGCAGGAGTGGAGAGTGAGGAGTGTAAGTACCTCTGGAAACCGTTACAGAAGTAGCAGTGGGCTGAAACTCAGATGGCATAAGGTGAACTGCAACCTTGAGCTGTTTATCCAAACAGTGCATCATTTCTTACAGGGTGAAGCGGCTAATGTAGAGTCTCTTCCAAACCCAATGGTACCGAGGCCCCTGTTTTGTCTTGTACATTGCCACTGACTTAACAGGAGTGCAATTTTGCATTTTGAATTTAAGAAATCCTTTTCCAGTCTTTGAGTATGAAATAATAGAAATTGTGAGAAGCGCTTGCAAGCAAACTTGAACTCCATTCTTTCAACCCATCAGCACACATTTATAAACCCACCTATTTCTTATGTGGTTTGTCTGACCTTGTTATGTCAAAGCAGCTACCAACTTGTGGAGTATCCCCAATCACAGGTACACAGTCAGCGCTCAGGCATATATATGTGTGTGTGTGTACATGCATCTAGAAGAGGTGCGTTGAAAACAGAAATTCAGAATTGAATTGAAATGCAGAATTTATATACTACGGTTATGTTCCCTCTAAATTTCTCAACTCATGCCTCATTATTAGGTGCATCTACTGTGTAACTATTTCCTTATTATTTCCTTATCCACAAAGCACTGTCCTTGCATCCTTCACCTCTTGCTGCTGTTTTATATCAGCTAGGCCCACATCAGCAAGATGTTGAAAAATGAATGGATCTTGAGTTTTAGACATTTTTGTCATGATTTCTACATTGCATCTAATGTTGATTCTATACTACGTCAATAGTTTAACGACAGAGTGGATAAGCACCACATACGTAGTAGCTTACACATATCTATCTGTTCTCTTAACTCTTATTTTGGAACGGTCCTTATGTTTAGGAAAACTGCATTTGTTTACTTTTAGGTAAGTTAAATTTCAATAAAGTATCTTGTGCAGTCAACTTCCCACTGAACAGTATTAGTACTCTTATTTGTTTTAATAAATTGGGAAATAAAATTTACTAATTTTCAACCTTAATTTCAACTCAAGAAACATTTTGTGGCATTTTATACATCCAAAGAAAAGTATAGGATTTTTTAATATGCCTTACGATTCCAAATGAGCTACTGTGCTTCCATTTAAATCACAGTATTAAATCTTGCAATGAAATCAAGACATTTAATAGCCAGATGAGATAGATAGAGAGTGTCTTGCATCAAAAAGTAACAAACTGAAAAGACATGAGTTGAAAATAGGTTGGTAAATGTGAATGTATTTCTGTGATGAGCTATGTACACCATATTTTTCTTGCTTACTGGGATATAAATAGAGAAGTTGTGTATGAATAATACATTGAAAAAATCAGCAGATAGAATGAATATGGAACTTATTCATAAACATACTGCATTTTAAAGAAGCAAGAGAAGAAATAGCAATGTCTACTACAATGTATGCGTTATGAAGTTGAAAGTTGGGTTCATTTCTCTTTCCATTAATCCTCCTCTCAGTTTACTGTTTGTCCTAGCCAACTAAATAGTAAAGCATTTATAGCCTGATAGCCACGAAAGACAAAACACAATGAAAGACCACTGATAAGTCATGCTTTGTGTAAGTCTGAAATAAAAGAAGTTTAAGAATTTGGTCAATAGTATTCTTGTTATTACATAGCCAATTGCAGAAAATCATGCAAAGGCCATTCTTCAAGACACCAAAACCTCCAGTCTGTGAGTCAGAATCAAATATATACAGATCATTCTTGACAGACATTTAGACAAACACTTCTTTAAAACTGCCAGTGATTACTCCACTATCTGTTACAGTGCTTGATTATATTAATAGTTAAAAAAAATGTTCTCATTATTGATTCTTAATCTTCCATGTTGCAAATCATGCCAAATACTACTTGTTCTCTCCTGGATGCAGAAAACAATTTCAACCATCCTTCTTTACACTTGCATTGTATTGAAAGTTTTGTTTTTCTTTCTGAAAACCAATTAAGTGAACCTAGTCGTTTTCAGCTTTTCTTCACAGATTGTATTTAAAGCTAATCCACAGAACGCTATTACTCTTCAGTGGTCATTTTTTCATTTACATGCATATCCTGCTTTATAGTAATTTCTAGATGGTAACTCTGTGATCCCTAAGTAGGGAAAATAACCAGGCATCTTAAGAATGTGAAATTATATCAAGTCATGTCCAGCTGTTCTTCCTTTACAGTAAATCATTAGCACTGTGAAGGAAGAGTTTCTAAGGTATGTATGGTGGTGCTCACTGTTATACCATCTTCATAAATTCTTACAGTAGTATTGGCTAAATACTTATTTTGGCATCTTTACAGTATATGTGAGCATATTTGGTCTATAATTACCTACATTATTTTCCATTTTAAAGCATATGATGTTTGACCTTTCCATGTGCTCTTCAACCTGAGTTCTCAGTGAGTTACCAGAGATGTTGCCAGTGACTCAACTTTGGTTAGGTGGGTGGTTCCTAGTACCCTAGGGTAAATTTAAATCAGCTTGCTGATAGTCGTAAATCAGATTTCAGAAAGCTGGTGGCTATTTGCAGTCTTAAAAATAATTTTGGATTAATGTACTGAAGGGTTTAGCGAAGTCATGCTGTGATGTTACAGATGTGTACAGCACAAGTGGCTGCTGCCTTAGTGATTATTTTACATCCTCCTCGCACCAGTAAAGAAGGCCTGAAAGCAATGGAACCTGGAGGAAGCACTGTTAGAGGATTATGTGGTTTAGCGGAGGTGCAATACCAACTCCAAGAGCTGCCCTTGGGAGCTATTTCCATATGCTTTCGAGCTGTTTCTCTTTTTCCATTCCTTAAGGTGTGTGACACCTACAGCTAACATCTGCACCATGTGCTAAGAATGCACAAAATACTAGGCTTGTCGATACTTATTGCACAGATGTATTTTTCTGCTTTACTTTTAAACAAAGGAAGACAGAATTTGCAAAGTACTTGAGAATAAGGGACTAAAAACCCAAAACCAAATAAAAGGCAAGGCAATTGAAAACTTTTTGCAATATCCTAACTTAGAAGAAGAAAGGGAAAGAAGAGTAGGAAACAGATAGCATATTCTTTATTGTATTTTAAACATTTCATGTTTTACAAAGAATTTCCAATGGTGTCAATTTTATTTAATGTGTGAGCTCTATGTTTTATTTCCATCTCCTCCAAGAGTGATTTGTTTGAACCACATAGTTCAAAACTATGACTTAAGCCAGCATACATGTCTGAAGGACTGAAGGTACAGAAATAGCTGACTATTTTACTTCAAGGTGGTTTATCTTAATTGAAATCCATGTAAGTAAAGAGTTGAAAATGTCCTTGGGGAGCTAAGGGAAATTTTAAAAGACATAAATCCCTCCTCTTTTTTTCTTTTTAAGCTGCAAACCCCATGAGATTTATTACTGCTGATTGTTATTAGAGATCCAGCTAATATTTTTTTTCCTTCATTCTGTATTGGTTTAGTCTGTAAGTCATAATCCAGCATCCCTGATCTTTCTTGCAGTTTTGGCTTTCCCTGCTTTTCTCCTGGGAATTAATCAGGACCGCCTAAAGGAAAAACTGACCAGCAGACAGATGGACAGCAAGTGGGGAGGCAAATCTGAGTCTATTAATGTAACGCTAAATGTGGAACAAGCCTGCTACACCAGAGATGCACTGGCCAAGGCCCTTCATTCCCGTGTTTTTGATTACTTGGTGGATGTAAGTTGGATTTGCTTGTTCTACTGAAGTATCAAAACAAGTACAAGTACACTAGGAATGTTCTTTGCAGTGCTCTTGTCAGTCATTTCTTTCACCCAGTATGTTTCTTTGCCTAAACCTTAGCAGCAGCACTGAGCAGTGCAGTGGGAGCATGACCACAGATATCAAATACAAGGCACTGATAATATGACAAACGCTACACTTTCTTTGAAGCAAATGAGCTGTGCTTTCAGCACTGTATTTGCTCAGTCTCCTGCCACAACTGTCCCATGAGATATTCTGATGTTTTCTTCCTGTCAGCATCCATACTTCTCTGACTCTTACTTTCTCCAACATAGTTGAGCATTTTCAGACGAGTAGAATTAGTGGGTTATGGTCCCCTGCTCTCTTACCCTGCTCTCCAGCACAGAACCCCTTCAGCATCCTGATGTTGCATTTGAGCAAATGGTCAAATTCCATTCTCCATGCTAAAGTACTCTGTTCTTCAGAACGAGACCCTGGGCTGGATTGGTGGCTTAGAAACCTTACCTTTGGCCACATATGCTGGCTAGATGAAGCAGAAGTCTCCTCCATGGTGGCAGTGCTAGGGTCTCAGAAGTCTCCTTCATCATGACAGCTCTGTGATTCCCACTATGTGCCTGTCCCAGCACTGACACTGCAAAGTAGGGGAATACAGAAATAGGTGAAAAGATTCATGGCACCATCTGCAAAATGCTTCAGATTCTTAGACTTAAAGCTGTTCTTTTTTTGTTGGCTCCTTTTCTTTCAGTGAGCCAGTTACACCAAAGGGGAAAGATTTTTACAAACAGTAGATCCAAAGGCTCGCTAACCTGGAAAACAGGACAGTATCCTGTTCATTTCCTAGCTGTTAATAACACCTTATTAAAAAGTGAAAGTAAAACACCCTGTTACATATATTTGTATTCCATTCAAGTATGTGCTTTTTGAAGAAACCCAATATTTTTATATAAAGATTTAAGGATATGAATATATCTTTTAAATATATAAACTACACTTTGTTTTACATTTTGTTTCTGTTTTATTAGTCTATTAATAAGGCTATGGAGAAGGACCACGAAGAGTATAACATTGGTGTCCTTGATATTTACGGCTTTGAAATATTCCAGGTAAGGCAATGCAGTACTCAGGGTTTGAGCTGATCTGACCTGGGGGAGATTTTTGTTATTTAGAAGGGAAAAAATCCAAACCAGAAAAAAACCCAAATCCTGTGGCCAGAATAAAAGCAAAAAAAAACCCCAAGCCCAGCTTTCTGGACATCGAGTTCTCACTGGTAATGTCTCACTTAATAAACACAAAGTATTGAAGAAACTTCAAAGAAACTAGGTCATGGATCTTAAAAGATCTGAGATTACACAGAATGTCTATAAAGTCAGCAACCCATCCATCACTGACAGTGTTTCTTTGAAGCTTATTGCCAGCATAAGAACTAAGAATTATTGTATATAAAGCACGAGACTAATTTTTAAATTGTTTCCTTTTCTATAGAAAAATGGTTTTGAACAGTTCTGCATCAACTTTGTTAATGAAAAACTACAGCAGATTTTTATTGAACTGACACTGAAGGCAGAACAGGTAACCAGATGTTTATTATTTTTGAATTCATAAATGAGCTATTGCTTTTTCAGTTGGTTGAAAAATTGAAGTTTCATCATCTTCTAACAATAAAATCTGCCTTGTTAAGCAAGACAAAGAAAAAAAACCCCTTTGTTGGCTAACCCTAAAGCTGTAAATCACATCAGCCGCAGACATTTATTCGCTAATACAGTGGTACGGAAGTGAGTCCGTCATACGGTGTACTAATGCAGTCATATGACTCTGCCCAGACTCGCTGCATATTCTGACTCATTGACAGAAATGGAAAACTGCAGCTTGGTTCCATCCCTGTGCTTTTGTTGGACATGACACAGAGTTAAATGGGAATACTTTTCTTAATTTCCTCCACACCCTTTTTTTTTTTTTTTAAATATATATCTGAATGAAATAGATTACTGAGACAAATGCAAAAATACTTCTGAGAGTATTTGCAGTTCTCTGCTCACAGTCTTACTGCAAAATCTTGCTTTACATGAATGTGAGCTTCTGCATGGGAGGGCAGACAGAATGCAGCCGAGACAGAAGCATTGTGTACAGTATGAGCTCAGGCCTGGCACCAACTTCAGGACAATGTTTTCAAGAATGCACATACACAATTGCCTTTGTATAAAAGTTAACTGATCATTGAGGTTGAGCACACAAATGACCTGCTAAGTGTCTAGCTGAACTCATGTATGCAACTGAGTGGGTCAATTTAATCAAATTTTAGTATGAATTTTTTCCCCAGTGAGTCTCTAGATGTCTTTATGGTTACAGTAATTGCATGCAGAAACAAAAAGTAGAGCTGTGTCTCCATTTCATGTGCATTTCTGAATGTGTTGTTTTGGGAGTCTGATCCTTGATAGGCCTATAACAATCTTGATTTTTAAAATAGATTAGGATATGGGTGCTTCCGTGCACTGTCAAGGTACTGTAAAAGTCACTTTGTTGACTATTTGCGAAGTGCTTTGACAATAATAATGATGAAATACTCCTGTTCTCAGTAACTGCTCAAGGGCTAGGAATAACAAAAGAATCTGTGGGGAGAACACAGAAGGATTCCTAGGGAGTAGAGAGCTGGATTTAACTATCATTAGGGTTATTTCTCCCACCTCCCCCCAATCATACATTTGACAAGTCTTTCTGAACATGAGTAGTGCAGTTTCTGTATAGGTAGTGCATTGTAAATCTAGCGCTACATTCACCATGCAAAGGAATATTTGCATCTTTCTTTTTACTTAACAGGAAGAATATGTGCAAGAAGGAATTAGATGGACACCGATAGATTACTTTAACAACAAAATAGTGTGTGACCTTATAGAGAACAAAGTGGTAAGTATTTAGAACAAACAGATGGAAGAAAGAACAAGATTTTTCTGTAAAATATTTGGGCAACCGCTTCACTGTTAAGAACATTCATAGGAAAAATGCAAATACTGTTGTTCAGTTACTGAGTCATACTAAGCCTATATATAAATCTTACATAAGATGTCTTATAAGAGCTCTAAGGTATATATCATCTAAGATACCGACCAAAAAGAGAACCATAAGATAGCATGATTGATGTGTGACTAAAAAAAATAGTGATGGAAATTAAAATTTTATCCACCTAAATTTATCATGAACTTCATGACATATTCTACTGTATATTAGATAAGGCTCTCTGTGTCCCTGGGACATGTATTTCAGTTTGGGGATGCTACAATACCAGCTTCCTTTGAGGTACTGTCGCAAATTAAGCAGGAACAAGTGAAGAGAAAGTATTAGGAAGTGTTGTAGATAAAAAGAAATTTTATGTCTTTGCTAGACAGGATGTTCTGCAGTTTAAAGTCTTTGTGTTCTGATTTGGGGTGACAACAAATGTTGAGTTTTCCCTTAGGACAGATGTAGGTTGTTTTTCAGCTAGTCCTTTGTCCTCATGTAAGCCAGGTAATTTTAACAATGGTTCAAGTACTATAGTGACTTGTGCTTAAATGCACATCAGATTTTGTCCATCTCCTATCTGTATCAGGATAATTAGGAAGAGGATAGGATTTCTGTTACAATCTTAGATATTTAGCTCTAAGTTTGACAAGCTACAGCTTATGAGTTTAAATGCTTACCTCAGACATGGGTTTATTTTTTGGTGGAATGAGAAAGAAGATTGCTTTGTGAAGGAATTAAAAACTAAAACAAATGTTGGGTGTTTTGGGGTTTTTGTTTTGTTTTTAACAGCAATCATTGTTTTTTCCATCATTTCCCGCTGTCACTATTATTACACGTAGTGGCATCTCTCCTTGAACTATTTGCGTGCCTGTGTAGAAATTAATCCTCTACTGTGAACTCTACTGGTTGGCGGGGAATTTTTCTTGCTGTGATTTTGCTCTGTTGTTTTTGTAGCAAAGATAGTTTTCTGTTTGGGAGGAAAAACTGGCATTGTAATTTTTTTTCCTCACTTCTTTTGCTGTTTTTGTTATTCTTCTTCAATGCATTAGAATCCCCCAGGGATTATGAGCATTTTAGATGATGTGTGCGCCACAATGCATGCAGTGGGAGAAGGAGCTGACCAAACACTGCTTCAAAAACTCCAGATGCAGATTGGGACTCATGAACATTTCAACAGCTGGAACCAGGGATTTATCATTCATCATTATGCTGGAAAGGTAATGTGGAAAATCATCACTGAATCACGTGTAACGTATTTATAAAGAAAAAAGAACAGTAATGAAAGGAAGGGGGAAGCCCTGTAGAGGGCTGTTTTGATTTTAAATAGCTAGATTATCTCAGGAGAACAGTGTCTTCCTTTCACAATATAGGGACCTTAGAACAAATATGCCCTAACATGTGTCTCGTACTTAGGAGAGATGAGTCTGGGCCTTGCTGCTATCAAACATACTAACTGGAACTTAATAGTAAATGTAATAAATAAATGCCCCATGTCTTTTATTAATAATAATCTTAATTGGTGGTTATAGTAGCGATAAATTTAAAGACTTCAGATATAAACATGATCCTTAGGTGATGATATACCAGTAAAACTGGGAATATAACGTACAGTTCTATTTCTCAGAGTATTCATGATTTCCTGCAGCTATAGTTAATAACAGTAAACTCTTATTATGCAAAAATTTTTCTTCAGTAAAATTCAGTATTAAATTCACTTGTGTCGTATTCCATTCACTAGCTCCATAACATTCTTTTTCACTGAATTTAAATACATGGATGAAATTCTTTTATATTTGTTTTAAAATAGTTAACTAATAATATATGCAAGGATTTAGTGATCATTGTAGTATCTTTAGGTTATACCAGGCTAACCAAGAAGTTCAGAACAGCTACTGATGAGGACAGAATTTAAATTTTCTTTAATTATTGGGTTCTCAACTTACCACAAACAATCAATTTCCACCTTGGCCCAGGTATCTTATGATATGGATGGATTCTGCGAGAGAAATCGGGATGTTCTTTTCATGGACTTGATTGAACTCATGCAGAGCAGTGATTTGTACGTAAGCAAAACTTGCTTAAAGCTAGGAATAACATGTTAGTTCAGATGGATGCAGAGGGCCTGACTTCTCTACTTTGCAACTTGTGAGCTCATTTGTATAAAAGCAGAAATAAAACATCACTGCAGTAGAACAGTATCACTTGCATTATATTGAACTTCATTTTCTGCAAATCAGCATAAGTAAGGTACTGCAGTGTCAGAATCAAATGGTATTATGACAGCCATTTGTTTTGGCCTCAAACAAGGTCATCAGTGATTTGGCATTTTCTCAGAACAGGCACTGTTTTAGCATATAAAGTAACATTTTTTTGTTATATGGGTTAATTAATTGATGCTTACTTTTTAAGTGTGTGTTTCTTCGAGTCTAGAAGTCTGGTATCATGTCTTCCAAGGCTCACTAAAATAGCAAGGGATCTCTGAGGAGTGAAGCTCATGGAAAATACTAATCTTAAAATAGATTTGATATAACTCCAGATTAATAGAAATAGCTATTTATATTCTGCTCAACTATCAACTTCTACAGCATATTCCTTGACATTCCTGCGTTGAATTGTCTTTCTATGCCAACACTATTTTATTAATTCTTTCCTAGGCCTTTTATAAAGGCTCTGTTTCCTGAAAATCTTCAAGTGGACAAGAAGGGCCGTCCTACCACTGCGGGCAGTAAAATCAAAGTATGTCTAGTTTTGCTGTGTTAGTATGTGCATATATGGGTGTGTGTGGATACCCAAGGGAAAAAAAAAAAAAAGTAGTCTTTGCTGTTTTTTACTGTCCAGACATATTTAAAGGTAGACATCAGGAGTATCTTGATTGCAAAGTGATGCAGTGTTTCAGCTGTTAGAATCATGTTTTGCTCCAGCATCACCATTCATTAAATGTTTTGTTCAGCTGCATTCTGCAGCAGTGGATTTTCCAAACGAGCAATTGATGGTAGTGATAATAGTACTTGCATCTGCATAATGAATGAGCCCCTTCACTCAGCCACTTGATGTCCCACAATTAACTACAGATAACTGGTCTCTTTATAGTGCAGAAATGCAGCAGGGCCTGATCCAATGCTCACTGAAGTCTTTTTACTGATCATAATGTGCCTTGAATAAGGCAGCAAGTGTTAGAAGGCAAGCATCTTTTTGGAGACTGGCTGTAAAAGATATGGTTAGATTACACATTTGCAGACTTTGGAAATCGATATTTTATTAACCTCTTTCCTCATATTTCACCCTGACAGTCAAGTTCACCTGGTGCATTCCATGTCACTCCCTATTTCTATGTAATAGTTTAAATATATTATATAGCTGAAGATAATGGTGCCTTCTATTTACTGATAAATTTTTCATGAGGTACATGAGGTTCTGGAGAAAGACCAAAGTCAATGGATCCAGTCAACTGGATCATCAGCAGATGGTTGATGATTTTTAGAAATCTCTCCCAGGATTTACCCTGTTCAGCTCAGACACTATTGTTTTCCCTCAATTTTACAGAAACAAGCAAATGACCTTGTTGGCACCCTGATGAAGTGTACACCCCATTATATCCGCTGCATCAAACCAAATGAAACAAAGAAGTCTCGAGACTGGGAGGAGAGCAGGTATGGATAAGCAGAGTATGTGATGAGAAACAGTACTAATAGTTAAAAAAAGCCACGAAAATTCAAAATTTGTAATAATACAGCCTACAGACAAGTAGAACTAGATACTCTAAAACCTTCAGAATTGAAATCTGGCATGAACTGTCCTAAACTTCAAGGATAAGCTGTGGTCACTTGGTCTAAATCAGCAGTTAGTATATGCAGTTCTTAGCTTTTCTCATACCAGTTACGAATAATGAACATATGCATAGCAGTTTCACAATCAGTGTATTAAAGACTCAGTTTTCCATGTGGAATTTGCACACCAAATGCATTATACATCAATTCTAACTTTTACTTTATGCTTTGAAAACGATTTCTATTAGGTAGCTAAAAAGCCAGCAGGATGTCTGTATCTGTATTTCTGTATCGAACTTACCAAAAAGTCTCTATAACCAAGAATATAGAAGGTTCTTTTTTACTGCTTGACTTTTAAGTTTCACTAGCCAGCTCTTTAAAGAAAAGTCACTAGAATATCATATTGGATGGTTACATAGACATTAAGCAGATGTCTAAATCATCAGTTTGGTTTATCACATCTGTTTTAAGGCATCTTTAACTATATGATGCTTTATAGCATCTTGCTATTATCTGAAAAAAGGTTCTCTTCTTTTTTGCACTGACGTGGGTGATCAGTATGGTATGTATACTACATGAGATCCTAGTATAGATAACGTTTATTACTTCTGTGCCTAAGTCGCAGAAGGCAAAGGCAGGGCCTGGGAGAATGAAGAACCACTCGCTGCAGGAGAAGGTCAGGTTCAAGACCATCTAAGGAACCTGAAGGTGCACAAGTCTGTGGGACCTGATGAGATGCGCCTGTGGGTCCTGAGGGAGCTGGCAGATGAAGTGGCTAAGCCACTATCCATTGTATTTGAGAAGTCGTGGCAGTCCAGGGAAGTTCTCGCTGACTGGAAACAGGGAAACGTAACCCCCATTTTTAAAAAGG